GTGCAGATCCCCACCTACAGGCTGGTGCCACCCGTCCTCCGTCATACCTAGGCATTCCCGGACGCCGCTGGCGCGAAACGTGACGTCATCGACCCCCTCCACCCCCCCCAAATGATTGCCGTCACTGGCCCGGAATATTACCCTCGCGACATACCCAGCCTCTGCGCAATGCGGGGCATGAGTAGATTGTGCGACTTTATACAGGGGGATGACTAGACATGGACGTGTGTATTTCTACGACCAGCATTTGGGAGGTCCCATTTGAGTTATCCGCGGGGCCCCACTATGCTGGCCCCCCCAGCAAGCCTCCAAAGTGGCAACAATTTCACAGATCGCAGCCCACCAAGGATGGCGAAATCCCATTTGAATATGTGTGGCACGTCGCTACGCTGGACCCCCAGCCGCCCTCGAAAGTGGCGACAGTTTCACAGATCGCAGCCCCCCAGGTATGGCGAGGTCCCATGTGAGTATGCGTAGGACGTCACTATGCTGACCCCCCTAGCAGGCCTCGAAAGTGGCGGCAGTTTCACAGATCGCAGCCCCCCAGGGACGGCGAGGTCCCATTTGAAACTGCGCAGGACGTCACTGTGCTGGACCCCCCAGCAGGCCTCGAATGTAGCGACAATTTCGCAGATCGCAGCCCCCTGGGATGGCGAGGTCCCATTTGAATCTGCTTAACACGTCACTGTGCTGGAACCCCCAGCAGGCCTCGAAAGTGGCGACCATTTCACACATCGCAGCCCCCCGAGGTAGCAAGGTCTAATATGAGTCTGCGAAGGACTTTGCTTTGCTGGACCCTCACAGCAGGCCTTGAAAGTGGCGACAATTTCACAGATCGCAGCCCCCCAGGGATGGCGAGGTCCCATTTGAATCTGCGTAACACGTCTCTGTGCTGGACCCCCAGAAGGCCTCGAAAGTGGCGGCAGTTTCACAGATCGCAGCCCCCCAGGTATGGCGAGGTCCCATGTGAGTATGCGTAGGACGTCACTATGCTGGCCCCCCTAGCAGGCCTCGAAAGTGGCGGCAGTTTCACAGATCGCAGCCCCCCAGGGACGGCGAGGTCCCATTTGAAACTGTGCAGGACGTCACTGTGCTGGACCCCCCAGCAGGCCTCGAAAGTGGCGACAATTTCACAGATCGCAGCCCCCCAGGGATGGCGAGGTCCCATTTGAATCTGCGTAACACGTCTCTGTGCTGGACCCCCAGCATCCCACGCAAGTGGCGACAATTTCACGGATCGCTGCCCCCAGGGATGGCGAGGTCCTATTTGAATTTGCGTAGGACGTCACTGTGCTGCCCCCCCCAGCAGGCCTCGAAAGTGGCGACAATTTCACAGATCGCAGCCCCCCAGGGATGACGAGGTCTCATTTGAATCTGCGTAGGACGTCGCTAGGCTGCCCCCCCCCAGCATCCCTCGAAAGAGGCGACAGTTTCACAGATCGCAGCCTGCCGAACCCCGAGGCAAGACGGGCAGGAGGCAGGAGGGAGGCGGGAGAAGGACGCGACCACACTCCTCCATTCAAAACGAATACCCAACCAAAGAGGGCTGGGAAAAGACATGCTCTAGCCGCGTCCGCGCGCACGACGACGATGAGCGACGAGCGACGAGCGACGAGCCACGACGAGCCACGACGACGACGACGACGACGACGACGACGACGACGACGACGACGACGACGACGACGACGACGACGACGACGACGACGACGACTGCGGACCAGGCTCCTATGCGGATTCCTACGCGGACACCTACGCGGATCCCAGTGCGCACGGCGGCAGTACCCGGAGCGCACTGGGGGGGGGAGCGTTACCTCATAGGGGGGGGCGGGGGAGCGGTGGCCATGACGCCCGTCACGCCCCAAGCAATAAAGAAACGGGCTCCTAGTTGTATTTTTCGTCCAAAATCAGCCCGTCCGCCTTTAGGAGGACATGCCCGACCTAACCTTCGTCCTCCCACGCGGGGCGTGGCGACCCCAATTCCTAAGACGAAGCCAGGATGAGGATAACATCGGGTGAGGATAAGTCGAGGATCTCCGAGATCCAGCGGCTCCGGAGGACGTCTCGGGCGCCGCAGCCTTCTCAGAGCGTCCCGGAACGCTCCAAGCGCGTTCCGGAATGCTCTGGTCGGGGGCGCGCAAACATGGATTAGCGATCCATGGATTTGGCGCGCGGTCGCCAAATCCATGGATCCGGGGAGATGCCCTCCCCAACATGCGGCCGGTGCCGCCTCGCTCGGCGGCGGCAATCTGCGGTTCCCCATGGCATCGGGACCCGTCGCTGATCCACGCCCCCTTGAGCCATGTTTGCGATCGCCGGATCTTGAACGGATGTCTCCTCGTCCTGGCCCCGTCCGACAAGATCCCCCGCTCCAGCGGGGCTTTCGGCTGGACGGGGCACTCGGGGCCCAACCCGGGGATCCGCGATAGAGGGTGGGCGCCCCTCCGCGCCAGGAGCGCGTCGGGGTGGCACTCCCGAGGGCTTCCTGTCTCTCCTGGGCGGCCTGAGGTTTGAGGGTGGAGCTCGGGGAGTAGGGTTAAGTCGGGCGTGTCTCCCAACAGGAGGATTTTGGACCAGCAAACAATCAAAGCATGTCCAAAACAGATTCAAAAACAGTCAAACATCGTCCCCAGACTATTTTTTGACTATCTTTGAACATTCCTCCTGAAGAGGGACACGCCCGACTCAAGATCAGGGGCGACACATCGCCTGATAGTAGAATGTGACCAGGAAGGCCCGAAAAGGGGCCCTTTAGGGGGCCCCTTTTTCGGGTCCGGCGACAGGGGGGGATAGCAAAGGGGGGGGGGGTGAGAATCAGCTCACGTAGCTGATTTTCCCGGCGCCTCCCGGCGCCGGAGGCGCCCATGTATCGAGGAATGGGCCCCTCGGTGGGGCCGAAACCAGCTGCATGCAGCAAATTTCGTAACCCCCCCTTTCCCAAACCCCCCCTTTCGCCCGACCCGAGGAGGAGGAGGAGGAGGAGGAGGAGGAGGAGGAGGAGGAGGAGGAGGAGGAGGAGGAGGAGGGAGGAGGAGGAGGAGGAGGAGGAGGAGGAGGAGGAGGAGGAGGAGGAGGAGGAGGAGGAGGAGGAGGAGGGGGAGGGGAAGGAGGAGGAGGAGGAGGACGGCCAACCCGACCCGACTTTTGGAGCCAACGGGAGGGAGCTCGGGGACGATCAGGGGCGACAGCTCGCCCCGCGACCCTCTCCTCTCCTCCTCGGGCGGGCGGCGGTGGGATGTCAAGAGGAAGGCCACCAAGGGGCCGACCCTCGTGGAAAAATTGAAAGAAGTCAAACAAATATTCAAATATTAAAATTAGAAGAAAGAAAACTTAAAATAATTAAAAGAAACATTAAAACTTAAAATCAAAATTAGGATAAATTAAAAGAATTAAGATTAAAGCATCCAAAAATACGAGACACATAGTCCCCAGACTGTCTGCGGACCATGTTTGAGGATCCCTCCTGTAGGGGGACAGGCCCGACTTTTCCCTGTAGACCCTCCTCGCCGCCCCCCTTTATGCAGCCACCCTCCAGTGCCACCCGCCCGACCCGGACCCCTTTGGCCGGCCTTCCTCGGCTACACGCGGGAGCGACCCTGAGCAAGGGTGACCGTTGGTGCGCGGCGTCTTGGGGGGCCGCGGGGGGACCGAACTCGGGCGCGCGAGACGCTACGATCGCATCGCAATCGGTGATCGGGGGACCCCACTGTCGGGGATGGACAGACCTCCCATTAGTAAAACGTGGTTTCGTGAAAACGACTTCGGGCCCAAACCTGGCGGGCGCAAGCCTGGAGAATGACGGCCAGGCCGCCCTCTCGAGAACCGAAAACGGGCGATTCACTAATCGACTAGGAGGTCTATCCAGCTCCGACACTGTGCCCGCACCAAAGGTCACTCTGGCGAAAGGTCACTCTTACGTGCTTCCGGGGGCCCTCCCCCGGCCGGCCGGGGGGCCGTCGAGACGCCTGGGGCGGCAGCCCGGCCGGGTGGGGGGAGGGGTCCGGACCTCTGGGGGGCCGCCCCGAAAAAGGATCCTGACGCTGGAGGCCTGGGTCGAGAGAGGGAGGGAGGGAGAGAAGAAGAGAGAAAGAGAGAGAGAGAGAGAGGGAGAAAAAAAAGGAGAGAGGGAGAGAGGGAGAGAGAAAGAGAGAGGGAGAGAGGGATGGAGGGAGAAAAAAGAGAGAGAGAGAGAGAGAAGAGAGAGAGAGAGGAAGCAAAGAAAGGGAGAAAGAAAGAGAAAGAGAGTGAGAGAGGGAGAGAGTACGAGAACGAGAACGAGAACGAGAACGAGAGAGAGAGAGAGAACCCCCTCTCCTCCCCTCGGACCTGGCATGAAGGAAGAGTGCCGTGGAGGAGAGAGGGAGGTCCTAGAAGTGTTTCGCCGCGCTCGGGCTCCCCAGGCCCTCCGCGGGCCCTGGTCCCAGGAGGAAGCCTCGGGGCCTGCAGGACCCGTTTCCCTCGGACCCCCTCTCCTTCCTGGCGATCGAACCCCGTCGTTCTCGTCTTCCTCCCCCTACTCCTTCCGCACCTCCTCCTCTTCCTCCTCCGCTCCTCCTCCTCCTCCTCCTCCTCCTCCTCCTCCTCCTCCTCCTGCTGCTGCTGCTCCTCCTCGCCACCCTCTCCTTCTCCGCCTCCCTCCTCCTCTTCCTCCCTCCTCCCTCCTCCCTCCTCCCCCCTCTTACTCCTCCCTGCCTCCCCACCTCCACCTCCTCCCCACGGCTGCCATCCGCGCTCCCTCCCCCCCCCTGCCATCTCGGGAGTGGCCAAGAGGAGGGCGTCCAAGAGGGGGGGGGGGGGGGCAAATCATGGCCGGCGGCACGTGCGCGGCCCGGGGGGTGTTGGGGGGGGGGCAGGGACGCAATGACACAAGAAGAGGCGCCACGAAATCCGAGGAAAGATCGTGGCCCACGCCATGATATCCACCTTCCCCTAGTCCTCACCCCCCTTCCCCCCCCCCCCCCGCGGCGCGCGAGCGGGCAGGGCGGGGCCCGGGCCGCACCTTTCCAACGGCCGATCGCTCTGCGACGGTGGCCCGCGGCGGGCGCCGCCGCGCCGCGGTGCCACGGGTCTGTGGCCGAGTGCGGGGGGGCCCCTCGGCAGAGGCGCGCCGTTCGCCCTCCCGCTTCCCCTATGTCCGCATTTGTATACGTATGGTGCGCGTATAGCTTTGTGCATACATACACATATATATACACACACACCTATACGACTACCCTTCGGGTGATAAGGAGGTTGTGGGGAGGGGGGGGGAGGCTGGGGGAACCAACATCTGGCTCAATCGATCTCACACCACGGGGCACCACGGGACACCACGGGGCACTTTTCGATCTCACTATCGCTCTCGCTATAGATTTCACTCAACGGGGCACCACGGGACACTACGGGCCACCACGGGACACCACGGGACACCGCAGGGCACCTCGATCTCACTATCGATCTCACTATCGATCTCACTATCGATCTCATTCAACGGGGCACCACGGGACACAACGGGACACCACGGGACACCTGTCGATCTCACGATCGACCTCACTATCGATCTCACGTTTTGGGACACCACGGGACACAACGGGACACCTCGGGGCACCACATCGATCTCAGTATCGATCTCAGTATCGATCTCACTCAACGGGACACCACGGGACACCACGGGACACCTGTCGATCTCACCATCGGTCTCACTATCGATCTCGCTTTTCGGGACACCACGGGGCACCGCGGGACACCTCGGGGCACCACATCGATCTCACGATCGATCTCAATATCGATATCAGTATCGATCTCAGTATCTCAATATCGATCTCACTCAACGGGACACCACGGGACACCACGGGACACCACGTGACACCACGGGAAACCGCGGGACACCGCGAGCCACCGCTGGACGGACGGACGGACGGGCGAGCGGGGGATAATCATTTGTCTTGACTTCGCCCCAGCAACGGCGGACACCACGGGACACCACGGGACACCGCGGGACACCGCGAGCCACCGCCGGACGGGCGGGCGGGCGGGGGAGAATCATTTGTCTTGACTTAACCCTAGCAACGGCGGGTTCATTCCTCTCGCGCGCCCACGCAACTTCGCCTCGTCCACACGCACGACACGAACGAAACGACACGATTTCCCGGTTAAGGGGTCTCCGTTCCACTGCGATCTCACCTCCCAACTTCCGATATATGTACATACATACATACATACATACATACATACATACATACATACATATATGTGTGTGTGTGTGTGTGTTTGTAAGCGTAGATGTGTATATATGCTGGCCATCGTGGGCCCCAACCACTGTGCTTCTGGCAACGCGTGCGGTGGAACCTGTGTGGCGGAGCCTGCGTGGTGCAAGCCATGTGGCGCCATTGAGCTGATGCTAGCTGTGCGGTGCGGATTGTGTGGTGCAGGATGTGTGGTGCGTTGTCGGTTGCGCAATATGTGCGGCCCAACCCGCGCGATGTAAGCTACACGGTGCAATGGATGCTGTGCAGCATATGCGGTGCAATCGCCGTTGCGCAATACATGTTGTGCAATCGGTGTAGTGCAACGTATGTTGTGTAACACATGTGGTACAGCCTATGTTGTGCAATGTATTTATTACAACATATATGATGTAATCTGCGTGGTGCAATTCACTTGTGGAATTCGAGGTTGTCAACTCCACTGCTCGCGCAATCATCCCACCCACCCACCCGCAAACTGCTTTGCAAAACGCATGCGGCGGCGCTTGCGATGAGAATTGGCGTTGGCTGGTGCATATCTGCGGCCGCGGTGCGCCGGTAAAGCAAGGGCCCGTGGCGCCAATTAGAAGAAACCACGGTATACAGCAACTGTGGATGAACACGTGATTCTCGATGGTCAGCTCCGTCCACCATTGCCCAAACTTCCCGAGGCCATGCTGCGCGGGAGGAGCGCGCCACCGCGAAGCATGTGATAAGAGCAGCGCGCTTCGCGACTGCGTGCAAGATGCGCGGGGAAACGGCCGCCCAAAACTGGGCGAGCGAGCCGTGCCGCACCCAACGCTGCACTCCGAGGGATCCGTCGGGCTCCGCAGCAGCCGGCGAGCATGGCGCTGCGTTGGCTTTCGGCCTGATCGGATCGCTTGGACCGCCCCTTTCTGGGCGCCGGTGGCGACGCCGATCAAAGGTGGTCTCGGTACTGTTGTTCCAGATATGCGATATTGGCAGCGCAGGCGCGCCCCGCTAACGTCGGCGCGCGACGTGTCAGTGGCGTGCGGGTGGATGGTCAGTGCGCTGGCGGTGGCGCATCGCAGGCTGACAGCGGCGACCGAAGGAGATGCAATTCCTCGACTTCCATCGCAGCAGCCAGGCGGATACATACCGTCTTGCCCCGGAGACGATTTGTTTCGAAAGCCGTTTCGGCGCCTGCTTGCCGAAAAGCCGGATCCGAAGGGGGACTGGCGCTACCTTGGCGGCGATGCGCGACCATGAGTGGCCAGAGCTGCAGCAGAAACCGCCGCTGTCTGCTCCAACGTGGCCTCGAAATTGGCGATGGTGCTCTGGGACTGCAGCTGCGCTTCAGCTACAGCGTGGGGCGAGACAGTTCTGAAGGGCGCGAGCTGCGCGAGGTGGCGTCCAGCTGGTCGGCGGGGTTCGCGATGACACCGCTGGCCACGTCGACGGTGTCCTTGGCGCTGGGGGCCTGCGCATCCAGCCCGCGGGCGCCGGCATCGAGCCTGTCCACCTCCTCCTTGGCAGCCCCGACGGCTTGCTGAGCGAGGCGGAAGCTCTCCTCGGCAGTCGCCAGACGACAACGGAAGCGAACGAACGCAGCGCTAACCTCATCCAATCTCTCCCGGATGGGCCTGAGGTCGCTCGACTGCTTCAGCTTCTCGCCCACTTGTTGTTGAACTTGAACGCGCGCATTCCGAATAGCAGGTGCATCTGAAACGGATGCCAGAGCGGGCCCCGGCTGCTTGGTGCAAATCCACCAAGTCGTTTCGCTCTGGAGCTGCGTCGCCCGCCCCTGGGACATGGGGCGAGTGCGCCGCAAGCGCAGTCACGCAGGCCGATGGGGGACCGCTCCGAAGGCGCAGGTGTCGGGGGGGCCGCCCAGTGCCCTGGGCGAGCTTCTGGGCAATAACCTGCAGCTGCTGTTGCACTGGACTTCCTTTCTTCGACGATGGGGCCGATGCGGGCGGCTCCGAAGGCTGCGCTGCATTGCGGAGCTGGGGCCTCGGCTCGGCGCACGTGCGGCGCACGCGCAGCGCGTGCAGCACAGGGGCTTGGAATGACTGGTGGACTTGCACCCGGCGCAGGTCCACGTGTGAGGAGGCTGCGGCCTGGACTGCTGGATACGACCCCCGATAAAATACCACAGTCCTGATGGGCCCCTTCGCCACTCCGAGGCCGACGGCGACAATGGGCAGACGAGGTGCCAAAGGCAACGGCCGACCAAAAAAACCCTCGCGCCGTGGGCATTCAGACAAGGTGCAGGCTCTGAAGGAGGTGAACGCTGGAGGCTGCTGGTATAGACTTACGAATGATTCAGCAACGCCTGGGATGTGAACCAACATGGATACAGAGCCCTGAGGCGCGGGTTGGACTGTCCTCAGGTAAAGGCTGCAAAGAGGTGGGCGTGCTGGTGGCCTTGCCTCTGCCGACGCGCCAGTGGCGCGAAACCCCTAATTATTTGAATAATTGAGCATCAGGTCCATTCGAGCATGGGCTTCAACTGCATTGGCTTCGCGAAGCCCTTAATTAATGAATGTCCTCAGGCCCCATTCGAGTTCACTGAGTTGGCTTCAACAGACATGTCTTAAAAGAGGGCCCGCTGCCTGGAGGTCTGGGCGCTCTCGGGAGCTCGCAGGGGGCCCCCGCGTGACCTCTCGAGTAGCCAAGAGCGCGTCGTTCGGTATACTATAGGGGCCCGACCACAAGAAACCTTCCGCACAAAAAAAACTGAGACCTCCAGGACGTCACGCGATTTTTGGCGCGGGAACGCCACGCTCTCCATCGCTGAACCATCGAAACCCAAGGGACCCAGGGCGCCCTGGGCAAGCCGGGTGTCTCTTGGCATGGGTCTCCACGGTACGCATGCCCGACGTTGTTTCAGATGGCCCCGGGGGCCGTCCTGGGGCCCTCTCGGGCGCCTCTGGCCCTCGTGGGCGGCCCTAGGCGCCAAGCTCGTCAAACTCCCCTGGCCGTTGCATGGCTTTTGCAGCACCGCCATTTCGGTCCTCCGAGCGCGCATGACGGCCCAGGAGGCGCCCAAGATCGCCCCAACACGGACCAAGAACCCGCACGAAGGGCCCAAGAGGCCCCCAAGACTGCTCTAAGAGGGGCCCGAGATGGGGAACACGAGCTGACATTCAAGCCCACCCCAAGGGCCCCAAGAGGCCCAAATCAAGCCCCAAGAGGCCCCCAAGACGCCCAAGGACAACCCAAAACAGCCTCCAAGAGGCATCCGAAAGGGCCCCCAAGAGGTCACCACAGGCATCAAGGAGGCCTCTGACCTAAAGCCCAGGCACGGTGTCGGGATGAACCAGGGACCACTAGATGTACACATATTTAGGCGACATCGACATCTGTAGTGTGTATATAAGTAGCTACCTACCTACCGACCGGCGTGCCTACCTACATACATACATCAACGCATACATCCATCCATCCATCCATCCATGCGTGCCTACATGTATACATACATATATATACACAAGATTTTGAAGGTTCGCTCCGCTTCGCCTTAAATCTTGGCCCATGGAATGTTTGAGAAAATGTGTTTGTGAGGGGTGGGGAAGCCCGTGGATCCGAGGAAATCTGCCCCCCCCCCCCATCGGCTTCTCTCGGGACATCGCCTCGGCCCGGCATTGCCTCCCGTTCCGGGGCGCCCCTCGAGCGCGGGCATGCGCGGGGCGAGGGAAGGGGGCGTGGAGAGCCGTGGTGGAAGAGCTGTTAGGATAAAGGAGAGAATACTAATGCAATGGGGATACCAACATCATAATGCGGGCACATTCATTGGTTGTCCCTCGCTCGAGCGCGAAGCTGGAGGTGCCGGCGCGCCCAGCAGCTCATGGGCCGTGTAAACCATAGTGGTCGCAGAGCACGCCGTGGAGAGAGAGAGAGAGAGAGAGAGAGAGAGAAAGAGAGAAAGAGAAAGAGAAAG